GACTGAAACATGTGGAGCCCAAAAACTTTTGTATCAATTACTTTTATGTCATGGTTTTTTGAAGATAGTTTCTTTGAATCTACTGATGGCTTTTTTCATCAAACAGGGGAATTCTGTGGCTTTATCAGCAGCAAACCGGAAATGGTATGAGCAACAGCAAATTCTGTTGCATATAGCTTCCATTCTGCTCATAGACAGCCTTACCTAGAATTGATTGGATCTTATGAATTTTCTTGGCAGCTGCTACTCTTTTTCCTTTTACAGGATTTCATAGATAAATTCATAGATTTATGAGAAAGGGAGAGAAATAGAAGGAGCATCCAAAGCTGTCTGCTTTTCACATGTAGTAACCCTTGTTCAAGACACCTTTTAATGTTTTCCAGGCTGATATCCTTGATGAGATTTAGAGAGACTTTAAAATTGTAATTGTATGGCGATGTCAGATTTAGGGGTGTGCAGATGAGCCAAGCTCGAGAAACTTAATGGAGGCTTGACTGAAGTTGGAGTTTGAGTAGAGCTGAAATTTGATTTTTTTAGTCAAAATCCGTTTTTGCTAGCCCAATTAATATTTACTCCCATATTTTGAAGTTTTCATTTCCTCTGTTAGGCTGGGATATCCCAACATAATTGGTCACTTTCCAAATCTATTAGGTTAAGTTATGATTTTTTCCAACATTTTCTTACTTTTGTTTGAATTTGATCTGTAGTATCAAGGATAATTACAGGTTTTCTGGTGATTTTCTTAAAAATGGCTTCTAATCAAATGTGGCCAGTTAAAGTGGGGTGGAGGGAGTATTGGTAGCTTAGATTTAAGCAAATCTCCATATAGAAAATATACATTGCATAAGGTAAACACACTTAGGTTATTGCATGGACGCGGTAGAAGGGTCTTTGCTGCTCCAATGGAATTAGTAATGTCTGAGTACACAGCTTAATCTTACCCAAGATGGTTATTTTGATATGACTCTCATAAACATAATGTTATGTCCTGCTGCCTGCCTGGTGGGGGCAGCTGTGATTCCTTCCCAAAAATTTAAGTGAGGCTCTTATGAGGAGAGTATGCCTGATGCTCTACTTTAAGGTACATGACTCTCATAAATAAATACATGTCAGGCAGTCAGAGGAGGTGGTGTCTAGTGTGTAACTGGCTAGATATTTGTGGATGTTGATAAACTGATGATCTAATCATTGCCAGTGTTGAGTGAAACCTTTAACTACACCCCTACAATGGCACTACTGCAGTTGCGTAATGCACACCTGTTAATAGTGTAGTAGTGCAGTTATGGCCTTGCCACGAAGGCACCAATATGCAAGAATGAGAGTGAGCAGTGGACAAAGAAAGGGGTGGCTGGTGGAACTCTGAGAAAGCATTTACATATTTTATGATGCTGACTTTTTACTTATAACAACTTTCATGTGTCTTAGCTCCCATCATCTCCTGTGTCCTTGGTACAACATGCTTTTTGGTAAACATCTCTCGTGTGTTTGTTTAGTGTTCCAAATATGTCAAACAGATTACAGCCATAGCTGTGAATCAATTTTAGCTCAAATACATAAATGTGTAGTCACTAATTGTATATGGATTTTTTTTTTTTTAATACATGTAACTTGAATTTACCAAATGTATACACAACTAAACAAAAACCTAAGCTTGTTCCTGAGCATTCTAATCAAGTTTAGTCAAACTCATTAAAGGTAGAGCGGTGGAAACGGGAAGAAAATGTAGTAGATATAATAAGAATTATGTACTAGGGATGTGCCTCTAGGTTTGAACTTACCTTTCCAGTTTTGCTTGAAATAGTGTGTGAAATTTATCTTGGACAGAAGTATTCTAATATTTTCAGATTTGGTAGTTGTTTGATATGGTTTATTGCTTGAATGACTAATACAAGTTTCTTGTTGTTTCAAGATGCATTGAATTGACTATCAACAGATTGTATGATGATGGGTTGCTCTGTGGGAGACAATCAGATTTATCTTGCATTGTATTTTGCAGAGAATGCTGAACTGACTCCTGTTTTACGTCTTGGAGCGGGAGCATGTGCTGGAATCATTGCCATGTCTGCAACTTACCCAATGGATATGGTACGAGGCCGGTTGACTGTTCAGGTATAAATTTAGCTTTCTATACCAATCAATATCAATAATTACTCTTTTTGGTCACCTATTTATATCTATATTACTGTTGTTTCTTTCGCAGACTGCTAAATCTCCTCAGCAGTATAGGGGTATATATCATGCTCTCACAACTGTTCTCCGTGAAGAGGGTTTCCGGGCCTTGTACAAAGGGTGGCTCCCTTCTGTTATTGGGGTGGTAAGTACTATGTGGATGGTGATTTGATATAAATTACTATAAATTTTAATTATTGTTTCTCCCATCGAAAATCAGCCGACAAATTCTTATAGACCTATATAATTTGGGATAACAGATGGAAAATGGCATTAACGTGTAGGGGCTGTGGTGGCATATTGAATTAATCATGACTGTAGGTGACTTGTGTTAAAAAAAGTGATATATAGTACATTTATGTTATAGTAATCAGATTGGGTGATTGTTGGAAGCTATCTTGTGTAGATAGTTTTTTATGCGCATCAATTCTAATCTATTGTACTTGCTCTTGGACTCCAAATTCTATTTGTCTATATGCACTCCCTCTGTCCAATAGCAGTTCAAACACTTAACAGTTGTAGTTAGGCTATCAGTTATTCTTTGAATAGAACTGTAGATGTGATGGGAGTTAGTAGGATTTTCTTGTTATTTTAAGTGGATTCAAAAGAAGGGATGTGACATACGAAGTAATAAATAATTGTTGGAACCACTCTTAAAAGAAGGGTTCAAATTATTAACTGGTGTGCATTGATATTAACTACATGCATCTGTAGGGAAAATTGTATATGGTCTTAGTGGTGCATTTTTTCATTAAGCATGAGTTGAAATATGGCACTAAATAGACACTCATTCCGTCAAAACTTATGGTTTCGTTGCTCCTATCCCCCATTTTAGATATGACAAAATTTATAGTTGGGCCATATATACTTTCCCAGTTACTCACTTTTAGTAACATAGTTTTGGTTTTGGAAAATTCAATCTCGCCCTGTTATTTGCTATTAAAAAAATGTTAGAAATTTTTCCAGTCATACTAAAAAAGTGGCACAGTGCGTGTGACTATTAGTTATGGTGTGAGGGACAAGGGAGTACTCAGTTGGAATCTGATTGTTATGTGCAGTTCTGATGAAATCTCATACATTAGACAGATTGTCTAGTATCTACAACCTACGGGTTTGATCAATATGCAGTCTTTCCTGGAACAACATTTTTTTTTTTTTTTTAAGTTTTTGTTATGTCATAGTTTGATCCCCAATCACACTATCTTTAATTCATCAAGGCATTACGTAATGGAGTGACGTAGCTTGGTTGCTGAAGTCTGAATGTGCAAATACTTGTTTTCTGACAAGTTCAATTTCATAACATGACAATAGTAACTATGGGCTGGTGATTTTATTATTTGCTGGAACATAAACTGGTATAAAGCATTAAAATGGAAATTTTTTCTCTTTCTTATATATAATATACCTGTTTACTGAGCATATTTAATTATATCCAATATACTGAGTAGTATCCTTTGAAAACTTGTTACTTATATGTTATAACTCGGCGGTATATTGGGCTGGTATGGCATATTGGCTTTTACAGTTATACGTAGTATGTCTTATGTGTGAGTGTACAGACATTATTAGCCCTCCTTTGTTAATGCAAGATCAGGCTCGGCTTAGAATGTGATTTTTTCTTAGGTTTTGGTGATTGCCACTTATTAATTGTTGGTATACTAGCATTGTACATCATGTGTGTAAAAACTGTAAATGGCTTTGTAACAAGGTGAAGGGAAAAGTTAAGGATGATAATTTTTAACTTTTATTCATCAATTGCCTTAATGATACTTGTTATCTGCAGGTTCCATATGTGGGTCTCAATTTTGCTGTATACGAATCTCTAAAAGACTGGCTCATCAAAGAAAAAACATTTGGGCTTGTTCAAGACAATGAGTTGGGTGTAACAACGAGGCTTGCATGTGGTGCTGTTGCTGGGACTATTGGCCAGACTGTTGCTTATCCTCTTGATGTTGTACGCCGAAGAATGCAGATGGTCGGCTGGAAAGATGCATCTACTGTTGTTACTGGTGATGGGAAAAAAGTTGCACTTGAGTATACTGGTATGGTTGATGCCTTCAGGAAGACAGTTCGATACGAGGGCTTTCGAGCCTTGTACAAGGGTTTAGTTCCAAATTCTGTAAAGGCAAGTTTTCCCCCTATTTTTCTGCACGTTTGGAGTTGTAATTTTTGTTTTGGTCATTGTCTCACTTTGGAATTTATAAATGCTTCAGGTGGTTCCATCCATTTCAATTGCATTTGTCACATATGAAGTTGTGAAAGATTTACTTGGGGTGGAGATGAGAATTTCAGACTGAAGCGGTTGTAAGTTCGAACTTTTAATTTCTGCATTAGGGGTTGGGTGCACACAGTCAAGGTAAATTATGAGGGAATATTCTTTCGCGGTTCACGATTATTTTCGAAAGCCGTCAGCTGCAGATGCTGGTATCTGCGCCAAGTGACCATCTTAAGTTCCCTTTTGATTTTGCCCTTTTTATTTATTTGGTATTCCTAATAAAGAATAGTTTGTACTATCCTAGATTTCCTAGGAGATTGATAAAACGCTTTTATCAATAATTTTATAGATCAATCTATATTACCGATACTCATTTACAGCATTTGTAAAATTAGTGATTCGCGAGCTGCATAATAATAAATCATTTGATATCTTCATGTGCAATATTTCTTTATAATCAATCAAACCCTGAAGAGATGATATTTAGTCAATGGCAATGCTGTTAACAAGAGTATATTTGGCAATCAAATAATGTGTTTTTGATGAAACTGAAGAAGCTCAGATGAGAAATGGGGGAGAAAACTTAGATAAGTATTTGGAGATGACAATTGACCCAAAAAAATTAATAAAAACATGACAATTATTTTGATATCAGGTAAAGAATAAATCTAGTCCCCAAATATCTGGATTGAAGGAAACACACCAAAAAATCTATACTTACTCGATAGACAGACAGTCAGACATAAGGATATACACTCTATTTTACACCCATGACATACCGAAGACAATGAAACAATAATAACAATCCTTGAAAGCCAAATTTAAATGCATGACTCCCGAACTAGGAAAAAAGAAAAAACCAAAAGATTCTATATCTACCTTTACCTTCTTTGTGGAGTGGTCTTCGGGACAATCTTCTTGAGCTCATCATATTGGGTGTACAAAGTATCGCACCACAAGCATAGCTGCCTTATGGCTTGACGTTTTTCCTCCCCAAGGGTTGATAGTCGCTCGTCTTTCTCTTTCAAAACCACATTCATCTCTCCTGTTGCCTTCTTCAGCTCATGTATTGCAGACACCAACTTTTCTTTTTCGCCTTTATTGTTGTCAACCTCAACTTCCATCTTACCAATCTTCTCTGTCATCATTAGTACCTGTTCTCTCTCATTCTTCAATTGCTCATTTAGATTACCCAGCTGTTCTTTCAACTGCTCTCCCTCAACATTCTTCCCTATCGCACATTGCTTCAAAATTTGAACCTCTTCGGACATGCTGAAGATATTATTAGAGAACCTCTGGTGATCCTCCTCAAATTTACACATGACTGCTTCCATTCCAGCTAATGAAATGTTCACATTCTCTGAGATATTCATTATCATTCCACGATAAGCTTCATTATTAGCAGCAAGTACTTGAGAGAGCCGAGTGAATTTGTCTTCTAACTCTTTGCACTCTTGTTGATATTTCATTTCTGCAATCTTGAAGCTCTCTTCATTTTCAGTCAATAGTTGTTCTGTGACCCTGAGTTTTTGGTTTGCTAAGCGTAGCTGAACTTCAATATTCCGGGTTTTCTCCCAAGCAGTCTTTTCTTCATCTGTAGCCACCTCTAGATCTCTTTTCAATTCTTCAACTAATATCTCAAACTCCAAAATCTTTTGATCTTTTGATTCACTACTCATGCTCAAATCCTCCTTCAGCTCCCAGATTGTTCTTTTTGCCTCTTGGAGTTCCGCCTCATTCTCTTGAAGACGAGATTCAAGTTGTTCACACTGCTCTTTTCTATTCATCAATTCATCCTCTAATTCTTGTACGGTCTTGAGATGATCATCTATTTTGGTTTTCAGATCAACATTCTCGGTTTCTAGCAGATTCAGACCCTCAAGATATTCCTGTTTCTCCTTCTCAATCTGTGCCTCCAACTGGCTATTTATGGTTTGAGCTGCTTCTGATTCCTGCTTCAAATTGCTGATCCCCGTCATTAAGGCTGTAATCTTGGAAGATGCTTCATTCTCTTCATCTTCAAGCCTTTGCTGCATTGTAGAAGACTCATCATCCCTCTCCTGTAAGGATTTCTCCAGCTCCTGAATCCTATCTTGCAACCTTGTGATTTCCTCTCTTAGTTGAGTAGCCTCGCTGCTGCTTGATTTAGTTTTCTCTTCCAGTCCTGTTTTGTGGCTGTTTAGAGTTTCCACTTCCAGCTCTCGGTCCATTAACTTGGCTTCCAGAGCTTCCTTTTCTTCAAAAAATTGTTTTAGAAGTGCATCGCTGCTAGTTAATTTTTCATGCAAACCTTCAATTTGTATCCGATACTCTGCAATATCCTCGTCTTTTCTCTCAAGATCCAACTTCATATCCCTTTCCTGAACCTGTAAGGTTTTCATTTCATGCTCCAATGAGCTGATCTGGTCCTGTAATTCCTTGATTTGAACAGATGCTTCGTCACTTCTTCCAGCCATCTGTTCTGACAGTTGACTTTTCTCAGCAGATAACATTTCAATTTCTTCTGTAAAGTTGTTGACTTGGGCTGTCAGGGCTTCAATTCTGGAATTTGACTCATTCTCCATAACCTCAAGTTTCTCCTGGAGAGATAATATATGCTCTTCTCTTTCCTTTGACATCGTCTCCATTTGTGAAATCTGCTCCCTTAACTCAGCTACCTCTTCACCCAACTGTCTGGCTTCTGCTGATTTACTCTCAAACTGCTCTTCTTTCTCTCTGTTCTCACTAATCAAATTCTCTAATTTGAGTTTCAAACCATTTGTCTCTTCCTCCAGTGCCTTTATTTGTTCTGAAGCTCCAGTTTTATGTACATCATGTATCTCCCTTAGGGATGAAAATTCCCTTTCCTGCTCAAACAATTTTTCTTTTGAGCTATTAGACTCTGCTTTCAGCTCATCCAGGGCATCCTGTGCCTGTTTGAGTTCATCAGTCATTTGTGAAATTTTGTGAGAGAGAGAATTTTTTTCTTCTTCAGCGGTGTTCATTGATCCCTTCAAGTTTTCGTTTTCTTGTTTTGACGAGTCCAGTTCGAGCTTCAAACTGTTTGTCTGTTCTTCCAAAGCCTTTATTTGTTCTGAAGCTCCTGTGGTATGGGCATCGTGCATCTCCCTTAGAGATAAGAAATCTTGTTCTCTCTCAGCCAACTTATCATTTGAGGTGGCATACTCTGCTTTCAGCTCCTCCATGGTATCCAGTGCCCGCTTGAGTTCATCAGTCATTTGTGACATGTTCAAAGAAAGAGCTGTGTTTTCCTCTTCAGCAACTTTCATGGTCTCCTTCAAGTTTGCTGCTTCCTGCTTCCATGAGTCTAATTCTGGTTTTATCCTAGAAATTTCCTCGGAAGCTGTCTCTAATTCAATCTCAATGTTTTTTTTCTCACTTTGCAGCTGATTGACCTCACCTTTCAAACTTTCTACATTTTGGTTCTCTTCTTTAAGCATTTTGGTAAAATCTTCTTTCTCAGTGGCAAGGTTATCTCTATCTTGTTTCAGTTCTTCAATCTGTTGAATCAGTTCAGCTTCTGTCTTGACAGAGTTCTCCAATTTCGACTCTAGCTCTTGTTTTTCTGCCAGAAGTTCTGATTTCTCAGAACCCAATCTTTGAACCTCTACCTTCAAATCTTCCAAAGTTTTGTCTGAATCTTGTTGCTTTGTCAGTAATGCCTTGTACTCTGATTCAAGAGCGATTTTCTCATTGCATGTTGTTGCCAGCTCATTCTTGAGATCTGCAACTTCGAGTTTTGCTGCTTCAAGCTCTTGCTGGATTCCATCAGTGGCTTTATTTTCATCTTCTACTTTTCCATTTTTGATGTCTTTTCCCTTGGATGAATGATCTGAGTCAGAGTCAGAGTCTGACTCTGAGGAAGAGAGCTTCTCTTTCTTTTGCTGTGGCTTGCTAACTTTCTCCTTCAATTTACCAGTGAGATGATCATATTGAGAAAAGAGTGATTCATACTGTTTGTGAAAATCCTCAATGAGTTCAGCAAGAGGCGCTTTTTTTGATTCATCACTTTCCTCGTTGCTCTTCACAAGGTTCAGTAATCTTTTCTTCTTCTCCTCCATGTCTACAAACATATAGGAAACTCGTCACGTAAGGCATTACAGTTGGAGTAAATTTCTAATTTTTAGTTTTTAACTAAGGGAACAACTAATGATCTGTCTTAGCTCAACTTAGTTAAGCCTTGACAGGTTTCAAAAAAAAAAAAAAAAAAAAGTAGTTAAGCCTTGACAAGAGGACTATATTATTATACGAAGTAGTTGCTAATTAGAGGCAGCAAGCACTTTTTCATGCTGCTGGATGCATCAACTTATAATAAGATAGATTAGTGAATTTTTTTCAATGGTAGAAATCAAGAGTTCAAGACATCATCAGATTTTCCAATCAGCAGTACCTTCAATATGGAATTAACAGGCACTAAAACCAAAATTGGGTAGACTCATTTACATTTAACACATAGGCCACTGAGAAACATGGGGAAATCGGAGGAATAAGTTTTAAGATAGATTTTCATGGTAAAGGAGCATACCTTTTTTGATTTCTTGAAGCTTCTCATGTTGTTCAGGATCAGTATGCTTTTCAAAAAAGGTCTTAATTGAATTTCTCATGCGGTGATTCTTCTTCGTCATTTTGACTAGCTTCTCACCTTAAATTTCCTCAACCTCTATGCATCTGAATGAAGCTCAAGACAGGAAAGAATCATAACCTGGGTCAAACAAATAGGAAGTTTTGTTACTCTAAGCTGCAAATAGAAATTTTAGGTTTTGCTTTGATAAAGACAGGTAGATTTTGAATTACAGCTTGTATGCTTTCTGTAAATTCTACCATCTACCAGAAAATGCCACCTTGTCATCCACTGGAAGTTATCATGTATCAAAGGGATAAATTAAATACTAACCAACCTTAAATAAAATAAACCTGCACTTAGGTGTTAACACACCTGAACTTGTGTTGGTAAAAACCAAACAAAACAATATGAGGGTCAATACCTTCACTTTAAAATTTACTTTTGCATGTATATGTAAACTTAATTTCATCGAACCAATAGATAGTAACTTATCCAATTAGGCAATTCTAAACCATCCCTATCCGCACCATTTGAGACTGTGAGCTATTTGCTTACAATCCTTAGTACTTGTATGATTGTTACAACCAAAGATTAGCTCTATAATTTAATTAAGAATCAAATACTTAACTAATTTATTTTTAGGAAAAATCCAAACTCATACTCTGTATTATTAACTACATCAATAAGATGCAAGTTCATTACCCAGAAAAAAATAAATAAAATTATTATAAAACAAGTTCTGTTTTCATTTTACCCAAGGGAGGAATCTATATCTTGCCCATATTTAAGGGTATGCATCTTATGGTGCAATCGGTTGAATTTCCAGATAAACACAGACAAAATTTTCAAATTATTATCCAATGATTTTTAATTCACATAAGAATTGATCATTATGATTTATCTGATTTGTGGCTAAATCATGTCCACTTCCCAAAACTAGCTAGAACACACATACTTCTATCAAACACAAATCTGTAGTGAACTCGCAATATATATTATAAAATTCAAATTTTAAAAAACCATTGGACATGCATCAGCGAGTCCCAAAAAACACGTATATAAACAAACATATTCGCCAAATGATCTGGATATCATAGTCCAACTTAAAATAATCTGAAATTCAATATGGATCATAAGTTTTCTGTATATTGTAAACAAAATATTTGACTGGTGTACTTAGTTTGACAAACATCATGTGTTGCCACGTAACGCAGCAAAAGCAGCCAAATCAATCAATAGAAATACCACTCCGTATGATTTTAGTACTCAATAAAACAGCTTGAGCATGACAAAAGTGAGTTGTTCTTTTTTGTAATTGTCTACTGTCTCCCTATGCAGTATTCGAGATCGGTGCCATAGATAAACCCAAACATACTTCACATGAGATTTTCCATACTTCTCCGATGCAAACAAAAAGAAAACAATTATCCAATACTCACCGACTCCATTCACCAAATTAATAGTCATGTTGATAGCGTTATTGGACTATATGCTCATAAGTCATGACAACTAAATCCATTCATCCGGACAAAGGGAGTAAATGTAAAAACTGCTAGAACTAAAAATCAGTCAATTCAGATAGACAGAAACTTCAATTTTACTTCTAAATGACTTCACCTAGGTTTTTTATTTATTTATTTATTTATTTTATTAAATATCACTTAAACTTTTAAATATTACTCGTATTACCATTGAAAAAATAAGTAAAATGTTACAATCCAGAAAATACTTCATAACTTATACAGATAAGATCGTAAGAGTAATCAATATTAAAAATATATATATATAAAAAACATCATTGAAGTTTTGAAGCTAATTAATTAATTTAACTCAATTTAAGAAATTCAGATAAAATTCCAGAAATAGTTGAGTTTATACCTGTAAATCCAGAACTTTCCAGTTGAATTATTGTAGTAACCGTCAGAATTTCGCTCAAAATTTCTAGGACGCCAATGAAAAACATGAATCAGGATTCCAGAAAACACAAATCAGATGAATCTTGAAAAAGGAAGAGAAAAAGAAATCAAACAACAACTTTACACCTAAGCATAGCAATTTTCAGTTAGCAAAAAAAAAAAAAGTAAGGAAAAACGCTCATCAAAAAGTTTTCAACAACTTCAAAAGATCGAAAAAAGTAGATTAAAGTAGTTCAAATCAATTTGATCAATCAACGTAATTCCATCGGATTTTAACACAAAATCATATGATTAATAGTACAATCAAAGCTGAAATCGATAAATTTTGCAGAATTTTGAAGCGCTTGCTAGAACAAATGAAAATTAGCTTAAACAACAAAAATCAATCGGAATTTAACACAAAATCAAGTGATTATAGTAAAATTTAAAGCTGAAATCGCTAATCTCTTCGATTATTATTCCAGATATTTTGAAGCTTATCAGATTAGTATAAAAGTAGCTTAAACAGCGGAATTCAGCAGAAAATTAACTGATCGAAGTAAAACTAAACCTAAAATTAAAAATTATTCATCGATTAAGTTCCAGATAATTGAAGATTACCTGAAAAAACGAAAAGAAGTTCAAAAACTCTGCTCTTCTTTTGCAGTAGAAGTTGAACCACCAGGACAGAGAAAGAGAGAGAAAAAGGAGGGAGGAGAGAGAAAGTGATGAAATTGAAAATTGGCAAAGAAGATTTGTCTGATTTGGAGTCTTGAAAAATAAAGTAAAAATAGACTATAAAATGACTAGCACATCATTTGGAGCTTCAGAAAAACCAAATACTGTATATTTTCGAATTTAAATTTATTTATTTTTAATTTATTTGGGAAATGGATGGAATCTTAAGAGAGGTACCTTTCTGACAAAAGTATCCTTGAGAAATAGTTTGTATTACATGCATGATTTTTGTTTTTTATTGGCTGGCAAGCAGCATGGAGAACATGGTTTTCAGGCAAGGCTGGCTAGCGACGGAGAGAGCTATGTTGGCCTGTTGGGTGTTTTTCATAATTTCGATGAAGTATATTACACCCTCCGTTTCATAATATAATTGCGATTTTCGCAGAAAATGACCGAAGTTATCTAAATTCCTTAATGATGCCCTTTTCTAGAATTTTCAATATCAAGTGTCTCATAAGCTAAAAAACTTCTCTTTAAATAACATAAAATCTTAGCTGGTTTAATGGACAAAACTGCTTATATATTCTAACCAACATAAAATACTTTGTACAAAACATCAATTTGAGAGGGTAAATTTTATAGCTTAAATTACACTTTTAAAAAAAATTGTTTAAAACTTTATAGCTTAAATACTCGTAATATTTATTGATATTCAATGTAAAACTCATTGTATTGTACAGACCACACACTAGTTAAATATATTTATTGATATTCAATGTAAATAAGATTTCAATTTTTGGGTACAAAATATTTTCTATGCTTGATTTTAGATGCTTTAGATGATAGAGTAGCCTTCTTAAATATTAAGTGATAGGCTCATAGACTGTTAGCCTTTACTCAAAATTTTTTGAAGTTGAAGAATCAATAAATTGATGTATATCTATATTTGTCGCACAATTTATTATTGCTGAATTTCTATACTAAGGGTCTGTTCTGATTAAGTGAACTGAACTGAATATTTATTAGAGCTGAACTGAAAATAATTGTATCAAAACAGGCCCTAAATTACTCGAAAACTCTATAGTAATAGTAATGATGTGTATGGCTACTAAAAGTACTACTCCGTAATAAAAGATTAATTAAATTTATTAATCATTTTTTTTTAAATATAGATAATGCATTCTAATTTTTTTCAATAATAATAAAGTGAGTTTGAATTATTGCAGTTTGATGATGCCAGGTGGGCAACTTTCCCGCGCGTTGTTTGGTAATGATTATATCATCTTTTTTGCATGCCCTGTCTTTATGATTGTGAGGTTATGTCGACAACTTCACATTTTCTAACCTTTCTAATTATATTTGTTCTCTAAGATTTGGATTTACTTGTCTAATAAAAGAGGAATAATCCTCTCAAAAATAAAATTATTAATTTTTCTCTAAGGTTTTCGAGTAGATATTTAATAAAAAAAAAAAGGTATATTCCTCAAAAACTCCTATATATGTAGGACCATATATATACTACTCCTATGGACTAGATGAATATAAGGAAATCACAGCTAGGTATAAATAGAATGATAGATTTCTTATTACTTCAAATCTCAATATATTTGGCTTTAAAAAATAAGAATAGTATATAATCAAAACTTCATATATAAATAATTGAATTAGATTTCCAACATTCAAAGTATTATTGAGTATACCATACTAGAATTTTGTCTAAGTGGGACATGGAGTTGCATCCACTAGATTCAATAATGATATGAAAAGGAAAGATTAATTGCAAAATTTAGCAGAATTCAATGTATCAAAAGTCAAAACATAATTATACATCTTACCATTATACATAAAATTTCTAATAAAATACACTAATCCCCTAATCCATAAATAAGGGAGGTTTGTGGTATGAAATTCCAATGTAAATCATTTTTTTTAAAAAAATAAAAAATAGTTGTACAAAATTCATGTAGTGGCTAAAAAAGGGTATGAATTAAAGGAAGGAAATGCAAGAAATCATGCATTTTTAAGCTCTTCCTTAGCTTTTAGTAGTCTTCTTCACTAACATCATTTTCATGAGCTGATCAAACCGACTTTGTCTATAATCAACCCAAATACATAACTGTCTTATGGCCTCTACTTTCTCATTTCCTAGTCTCAATAACCCTTCATCCTTCTCTACAATCGCGTTCTCCAAATCCGCCACCTTCTTCTGCATCTCATACATCCCTTTCATTAGCCTTAACTTATCACCTTTCTCCTTATTCACCTTTGCTTCTAACATCTTTACCTTCTCCTTCATTAATTTATCTTGTTCTTTGCCATCCGATGTAAATGCAAGTGGCGAGGCTACTACTAGCTCGTTATTTTTACATGGTTTTATTTCATTCATTGTCAAACGAACCCAATTCTTTGCAACCTGAATCTCATTAGACACACTCGACAATCTTTGTATGAAACTCCCTTCCTTGCTCTCGAAGTTGTTTATCAAACACTCCATATCCTTCATCATTTCATTCACTGCTTGAACAACTGTCGTCTGTAACTCAGATTTGTGCGGTGATATCACTTGATGAGATAGTCTTTTTTCGAGATAACCTGGATGTTGCTGCTGACAATGCTCTTGCATCTTCTTGCAGCTCTCTTTGGTCTCAGCATGCAGTTGCTCGGCCACTCTTATCCTCCGTGTTAACATACGAAGCTTATCCTCGAAATTCTTCCTGAATTCTTCTGCCACTTCATCCATCTTCCTGTATGCAGCCTGCAGGAATCGCCCTTCCATTAATTTACAGTTCTCTCTTAATTTGTTAATGGTGTCTTCTTGTTGTTTTAACATACATTGCTGATCTGAAATCTTGAAATTCAGTTCATCGTTTTGATTTTCAAGTTGAAATGGTCTTTCAGAAAACTTTTTCCTTTCATCAGACAATTCTCCCTGCAAACAATTTATTTCATTCTCCCCTGCTTGACATTTTCTCTGAAGATCAGCAATTTGATCTTCTTTGTCTGACAATTTTATTTCGAGCTCTAAAATCTTCACTTGTAGGCTTTCTTTCTCATCTTCTAAATCACTGATCTCTTGGTCGCGCAAACTTAGCTGTTTATCAAGCTTCCTTCCTGTATCCTTTTCATGCTGCAGGTGGCTTACTTCTTTATTCAAGGCTACTATATGAGTAGACATGTCATTTTCCAAAGTTGAGAACTCGTCTCCTCTATCTTTCAGCCTCTTCTCTAGTTCTAATATTCTCTCTTTAAGTGACTCCTTTTCATCAGTTAGCTTACTGATATCATTGTTCTTTATCTTAATCTGTATTTCAGATTCATTCTTCAGTTCCAACTCCTGCTCAATGGGGTTAATCGGAGCCATCAAAGCCGTGATCTGAGCAGATTTATCATCCTCCCCATTCTCAAGTCCCTTTTGAAGTGCAGTGAAATGATCCTCCCTTTCTTTCAATAGACTCTCCATCTTCACCATTTTTCCTTGCAGTACCTCTAACTCCTGTGTTAGCTGGAACTTTTCTTGCTCTTTTTTCGTAATTTGCTTCTCTCTTTCACTTATGAGGTTGCTTGAATGTTGTGCCTCTAATTCTAATTTTTTCACTCTCACTAGTGAATCCTCTTTCTCCTTCTGCATCATCTGAAATTCTTGAGCCTTTTCTGTTAGTTCCTTCTTGAGGTCATCTATCTGTGACAAAAATTCTGAATTTTCTTGGGCTTTCTTCTCAATATTTGACTCTAGTTCCGTGTTCTTCTTTCTCATTGACCCTAGATCGCGCTTCATTTTGTTTACCTGATCCAGCAAGTTCTCATGCATAGCAAAGCCGTTGTTATTACTTTGAGACAACTTTTGTTTTTCTGAATCACTTTTCTGTGCATTAAACAAACAATCCACATTTAATTTCAGCTGGTTCACCTGTACTATCAACCCCTTTATTTTGGAAACCTCACTTATCAACCCATTATTTTCAACAGCACCATCAACTCCATTTTTTACAAGTTTAGATATCTCTTCATCCCTCTCTTTCGCTATCTTTTCAAGTTTTGAAACCTGTTTTTGCAGTTCTTTGTTCTCCACTCGCTGTTCTAATGCTTTCTTCTCAACGCACATCCCATTTAGCTTAAGGTTGAAAGATGACAGCTCTGACTCTAGTTCACTCATCAAGCCTGAAATTTCCCTCTGACAAAGCTTCTGCTTCCGAGCAAGGATTGAAACTTCTCTTCCCTTTTCATCAAGCTTCTCTTTCAGTTCTTTCATAATCTTCTCATTTTCCTGTGCTTTGTTCATTGTTTCTACGTATTCAGAGTAAAAGGACTTCTTCTCTCGGTTCAGGTGGGTGTGACCATTTGCCTTCACATCCTTCTCTAGCTCTGCCTCTGAGTCTGAACTGGAGGAAGTAGCTGTAAAGTACCCCTCATCTTCTTTTGCTCCATTGACAGTTTCAGATAACTGTCCTCTGAGATCATCATACTGACCATAAACAAACTGATACTGTTTGTGAAAATCCTCAATCAGCCCAATAAGTTCTGATTCTTTTCTCAAGAGCACTTCTGCATTTCGGTTTCTCCTGTTCTGACGGCGCTCTTTTACAAGCTTCATAATCTTTGGCAATTTGTTTTCTACCTCTGCAATAGAGATAAAATTCATGTTAATTCCAAATCGTTGCAGCACATTCTACATGAGATGGAACACTTTGTGCTCAAACATACAAAGTACAAATGATGGTATGAGTAGATGATCATTGTAAGGCTTATGAATAATGAATATTAATCCAAGCCTCTAAGGTGACAGGATTGTCTATTTATGAATAATAAATTCCTTGTAACATTTTATTTGTCCTCCTTGTTCATGAACGCTGGTTTTAAAAGTCTGCCATTTAATATGCTTAAAGAGTTAAAGGAGAATTCAGCTTAAGGCACTAATCAAATTTCACACATTGTATTTACATCCATCTCTCAAACAATAAACAGTCGGATGTCTGTTTACTTTTATTTGAGCTAGTGTACAATAGCTTACTCCTTTTTTATATACACCACTGATGAACTAATACAACTACAAGAAAACTTCTTCATCAAACTAGTTAATCTTGTTTCTTAATGTAGAATTTGCACAATAACATAGTTCATATTTTAGTGATCACATAATAGCATAAATATATACATCGTATGAGCTAACAAGTCGCCTTAGACTACAAAGATTGTTAAAATGCTGCTCCATTAAGTTACATTCTGCCAGAGAGAGGTCATCACCTGTTTTAGACTTCTCCAGTTCTTCATCTTTTCTAGAATCAAAATGGTTTTCATACAAAGCCTGCATGAACTCCTTCCAGCGACGCTTTGTCATTTCTAGAGGTGCTCCAACGAAACTTATTGGCAGCATCTGAACACACAGTCATTAAAATTACTAGTGGAAAAACTGTAAAATTGATAGTCAGAAGAGTGTACTGATGTTCTAGCTTTCCAGAAGAAGTTTTACTTCATGACACATTATCTCAATTCCTTAATATTGCAGATATATAAAACACAATTTATAAGAAACACTCTTCATATACTTGGACTAATCAGTACAGTACTATAAAAGAAACAGTTACAAGTTTTCACTGACATTTTCAATTAGTATACTTCAAGTATTATACTTGCCGAAATATTTCACAATGTAACACTGTTCCCAATTAAATCAATTAAGTACCATTATTACATCCCTTGTCTCTAAACGCATACACGGAACTAATAAATTATAAGAAAATGCGAAAAATACAAAAATTATCTCCGAAAGAGGATAACAAAAAGAGTCCCAAGAATTCAGATAGAGCAAACTATGGAGCAGGTCAAACAAACAAAGCATATCTAATGTGACAGCAAATTATAAACGCAATTCCTATTAATTGATTTATAGGTCAAAATATTGATTGGAATTATAATTCATTATTATCAAATAAAAGGGACATCTACCAAAACTAAGCCTAACACCACTTAAAGACAGTTAGAAGAAATCAAGAGAACTTTATTCCAACACAACTACTACTCAAATGAACAAAAAGAAGACTAAACTTTTAGAATGACCCTCAAATAAACCATCTTTGTCAACGAGACATATGTACTCAACCAGAAAATTTCATGTAAAATTGGGAAGAACAAGAAAAGGTCTGAGATTCTTTAGTTGAAGGACCCACAAAATAGATCTTAACAACAAACCACATGAAATTACAGATGGTTTTTAACTTTTCAACTACTAATCATAGAATGTGAATGAAACAAAAGAACTACTGTATTATCTACTTGATTCACAAATTGAATAACTTGTGCAAAAGGCCTCAATCAAGAGTCATATCGCGGTGGCATTTATGTATTTTCTCCGATTTTATAGGGTTTTTGACAAGAAAGGTATAGAAAGGTGACTTCTCAAATATGGTGTTTGGATTTTGCATTATTCACAAATCTCAAAGTAAAAATCAACGAGTCCCTCGTACATTAACAAATATATTGAAAATTGAACAATATTCATAGATTTGGGATCACTGATACCACTCTATCACCAAAGAAATATAAGTTTATTAGGAAGGAAAAAAATCTAATTTCTTATCAACATTTTTGCTTTGTCTTTTCAGTCATATAAAGGGTCTTTATCGCCGGGAAATTCCCTGTTTCTCATGGTGAGAAACGAAATTTGTTTCTCATGGTGACATTTTCGTAAATAAATCAACAATTTTTTCAGTATTGTGGGCTCCACACGTAAAGTTGAATAAAATTGTTGGTTTATTTACGAAAATGTCATGTGAGAAACAAAATGTGAGAAACAAAATTTGTTTCTCATCATGAGAAAGTGGGGCATCCTTATGAACAACATATGGGGTACGGAGTTTTTTATTCTAAGGTGCACGTCGGGCATCACATGATCACAACACCCTATCTCAAGAGAATGCCTATTGGATGAAAAGGGGTTGGAAGGGATAGGGGTGGATGATATTTGAATTCGAGATCAAATGCAATGGAAGTCTGCCAAACCAATTACATTTCAAATGATACATAATTATATACTTTAAACTACCTGAAAAAACACCCATATGCATGCATGTGGGAGGAAAAAACCAAAATAAAACAAAAAAATTTAAGGCCTAATATAAAACACAAAGTGATCTAACCATAAGAAAAAAGAATAAAATTGCATGATTCTCTTACCCAATTTGTCTGGAATTGTTTGATGAACGTGATCTCAACACCATTAGATTCAGAATCTTAAGCTTTCATTTCATAACACTCACGATCAAAATTACAAATCCCAAAAATAGCAGAAAGGAAAATAAAGGAGATTTTATGAGGAGAATCCGCAAATTATATTTGAAAAATAAAAGTATCCACCCAAATTTAAACCTTTCAAAAGGACAACAATTAAAAATAAAAGGCATTTATTTTATCAAAAAAAAAATGTAATTAGCGTAAATAAAATGGATCATGCTGACAACTTTGTGTTATTACCAAGTATTAGAACATTATTAAAAAAATAAAGAATACTAATTGTAGAAGTAATTAAAAATTCTGGATTAATTAAATCCTCTCCTCAAAAAAAAAAATTAATTAGATATTTTCCCCAAAATACTCACACTGGGCGAGTGGTCTGCCATTATTGGAAAATCAAAGTTGTTAATTTGAGACGACAAATGCTTTTTTTAAGGTTAATTACGGAGAAATGCCACTTGACAGTTTTAAAAGCCCGCGAAATGACAAGGAAAATCAGGTAATTCGGCTGTGCTGCAAATAGCGTCAAAATCGTTATTTTAATTTTCTGACAGTAAATGATGCAACTGTCAACTCTGCTGATTAAACTTAATAAGCATAAAGTGTAGAAGTACTATTGTAATTAAATCTTAATTTGTTATATGGTTTTTTCTCACAATAGTAAAATGATTTTTCTGTTTATAGCACTCGCGCTGTTCCTAACAACGCTCTTATGAGTGTAAGGGGAAGCCAAAAGAAAGAGATAAACAGCAGCTAGAGAAAACTTGAATTTTCAACACAATGGCGGTTGTACAGTTGAAGGGCTGTTCAATTTCGGATATCCGATCCAAAAATTCAGATATCCGAAATATTCAGATCGGAGAAATTGCATTCCGAATCCGATCTGAAGGTTGGATATCCGGATTTTCGAATTGGGTAATTAAAATTTTTCGGACAAAATTCGATCCGAAAGTCCGGAATTTTTTTCGGATATCCCGATCCGAAATATCTGAAACCTTATTAACCAGATCGGATCGGATATTTCGGATCGGATATTTTTGAACACCCCATTTCTAGCACATCACCTCATTCACGGCCCGTAAATGAGGTGATGTGCTAGAACCTGGTGTAGTAGTACCCTGAATTTTTTTTTCTTTTTTGGCTATCAAAGTAAAATTTCCTGCAAACCTTTTGTACTGTGAAAGAATTGTTGTCATTGAAAGGCCAATTTTTATTCGCTGAAAAATTTCAGTTTTCTTGTCAAAAAAAAAAAAAAAAAAAACAAAGTTTTGAGTTTTCTGTATACATACGAGGATATAACTGCAAGATCTAAGTCTTTACATTTAAAAAAGGACCTGCTACTTCACATCAGCCGTATCTTTTTGCTTCTTCCAATTGTATGCTGCTTCCAACATCTTCAAATTAGTTGTTTGTGACTCTTCTGGAAACATGTAGTCCAAATACTCCTCGAATCTGTCAATTTTAGTTTAAGATTAATAACACCGAAATAATCCAAATGTATCACACGATCAAAAAATATGTACAAAAGTAGATATGATAAGTTTAAGGTCTTAATCCAAAGCATAACATGAAAGTATTCAGACCACAAGTGATATTAAGAAATTGTTTCACATACCCAGCTGCACCATCCTCTGTCATTAGAGACCGCCGCCTCTTGAGTTTCTTGGGCATCTTGGCTTGAACTGAACCAACATCGCCAAGATCACCAAAAGATTTCTCCATCTTCAGCCACTCGTCTAATAGCATGGCTCTCTCTTCTTTTAGCTCAGGAGCAGAAATCCTAAAATGACTCAGAGCTTTTTCAAAAACCCCTGATACATGGAACATAATAGGGGAAAAAAATCAGCAATTCTGTTCAACAGAAAGCCACAAATAAACATTTGAAATGCAGAATACAGCACAGAGATGATGTTTCTAAGCATATCACAGCATTAACATTTTACAATGTGGGATGCCATTTAAATTTAAAATTCCTTTACACCTACTGTAGTGCTGTAGGATAACATTGCCCCAATGCCTCTAATACCGCTCCAATATAAACTACAATGCAATTTGTATAGCATTCCAGTACCAGGTATTCCCAATACAAAAAGATTCTTCGTGGGAATTAAAAAAAATTTAAACAGCTTGTAACTGTATACCAGTAGGCAGTGGCTACAGGTCTAAACTACCTATAAATTCTCGTCCTAAAAAGGTACGCTTATTTCGATATACAGAACCAAGTTTCAATAACATTGAAAAGCAACTGATTCTCTTATAAAGGAAGAAAAAATACACTAAGGGATTGTATTGATTCAGAAGTAAATATCATATACATAAAATATATTACGTAGATTAGAAAAACATCTAATTGAAAGGTCATAGATTGCTTACGTCTAGCACGCTGAACACACAGTCTCCTATTTTCATGTAAAAGTTCTTGGGGCTCATTCTTTGGCATGTCTGATTCCTCATTGTCCACACCAGCAAATGCTTCAAAGTTTGCATAGCTGATCCACACCTTCAAATGCTTTGTTCTGTCAAGCAATCTCTCATACAATGCTCTTGTATGATCAAATTCTCCTTCCGTTATCTCAAAATCAATATATGCCTGTCATGTATCCAAAGTGTTATTATAAATTCAGATATTTATGTCCAAAACGATGCAACATGATCCAACACATCAGGGCACACTGGTTTACAATTTGACAGGTCTGAACACCTGATAGACCTGATTGATATAATTCCTAAATAAAACATACAAATCAACTACTTTGAAGGGAGATACATATCTTAAGAAAAACTAATTCTGAAGTGATAGTATATAAACTCATGTACAAAGAGAACAAAACTGAATCCAAGTACGGAACAGAAAAAAAGAGGGGGGGGGGGGGGATAAAGGAACAAAACAATAAAAAGCTAACAGAAAAGTAGCATCCAATTATTTTGAATCTTATTTAGCATAACTAGATCCGTTGTACTGTTTGTAAAGAAGCAATACCATAACCAAAAAAAGGATAAAAGAGTCATCAAAGAAAGAAGCAGGATCTCGTATACAAACATGCAGCCTTTTAACAATACCAAAACTAATTTGAAACAATTCAAACAGCTATATAGCCTTTGGCTTATTAACCATGTAGTGCATGTTTTTTCCCATTGAAATAAAATCCAAAAGAAAGGCCGGAATCAGTTACCTTCCACAACAATTCCGGCTTATCCAATGCAGGTTGTGCTATGGCAAGCTCATAGATAGCCCTAGCTCTTTCTGTTTCGCACAAAGAACGTTCCAACTCAGCATACTTGGTCCATGCATAGCAATTCCCAGGCGACCAGTCCAAATATTTCTCATATAGCTTCCTGCACCTATCAATGTTTCCCAATTGCAATTCTATTTCAATGTATTTTTTGAAAATCTGTAAGAAAAAGGGGAAAAAAAACACACACACACACACAGTTGTTAGAGCTTGATCTATGTTTCCCAATTGCAATCTATTTTCAGTTCATTTTTTGAAAATCTGAATGAAAAAAATGCAGTTGTAAGAGCATATTCATACAGATATGATAGTTGTGCTAATGTAATTTGACATGGAGTGCTACCTTATCCTTCGGAGCCTTCCCAATGGCATTTCCCAACACCTGGCGTGCACCATTGAGATTACACTGCCGAATCTCAAATTGAGCTGCCAAAAGCCAGATCTTAGCAAAGGAGAATTTGGCATGAGGAATCAACTTAAGGCATTCCCTGAAAGCAAGGACAATAGTTGGTACCACAGACACTCATAAGGCATTAAAAAGAATACGAAATATACTCAGATAGTCAGATACACATGCATATAATGACATTTGAAAACAAGTAGGTTGGGAGAAAGGAATGTTTGTATGACTGTATCTATACAAGAATGTAAGCTTTCATGCAAAAATTGGAATGGCAACTTAACCAGCACTATGATTTATTTATATTCTATTCATGCAGCCTGCAAAAACTGCTTTCCTTTGACTTGATCACAACTTGACTTCGGCCACTGTATTTCTTTGTTTCTCTCTCAGACAGAGTACTGCTATCACTCATCTTTGGTTAGATTATTGTTTTAAAAGTAGTTCATGACATAACATAATTGAATAATTCTCAAGGCCAAGTAATTCTTCAAATTCTTTCACAGCTATAGAAGAGTTGAGATGAACGGTAAAGTAATTCTATCTTGAAAAATTGGACGGTTCATCATCAGCAGGATAAAGCAAACATTTGGACTGTGGGACATAAGAAAACGTCAGCTTGATATAGGAGAATATTTGTTCCGTGTGAGCGTTTTTTCCTTCAGTTCAATGAGAATGATTTATTCAAAATGCTGAGGGTTCTGTAAAGTCATGGTGTAAAGGTAGGTCTGCAGCTTCGTTTCAGCTCTTAAATTATTTTAGCAAGAGGTGCTGGTAGAACAGTATTCCAGTTAAAGACCATAGAGAGCACTACAGCAGTAAATAGGTCGCACCATTCTTTTTATTTCCTGGATGACTACTTCAAGAAAGATTTTTAAAGGAGATTTATTCTCGTATTGTGCTGCATTTGAAAAGTAGTCTGCTATATGGTTGTATCATGACTTATTTTTCAGGCTAGTGTATTGTCATCCTAAGGAAGGAAAGTAGTCTGCTATATCATGCTATACATACATGATCAAAATACTTCATCATAAACTAAGCAAATTCATTTGTCAATTCTTCCTTATCTAAAAGAATTGTATCTGCAACGAAATTAAGCTAGTGATAAAACTGATAATGTGATACTTCGTATTTGCATAGGCGCATGAGATATCCTCATATCCTACATCCATTTGAGATTGCAAGCAATTACTGTCAATGTAGAAACCTGATAACTTACCTGTATACATCTCTTGTTCGCTCCATATCTTCTGCATCAAGTTCTTCATATAAAGCATAATTGATCCTAAAAAGTGCAGGAGTTGGTCAGAACTCATTTTTCTTTCTAACAGAAAAGATGAATATACATAACAGCAATACAAAAACACCATCAAATCCTCAATACATACCACAGGTAAATGTAACGCTGCCAATAGTGCTTCTCCTCAGCTGGAGGAACATTGGCTATTGTCCTCTCATAAATTTCTCTTACTCTGCCTTTGACACCTACACTCTCTTCAAGCCGAATATAATCAAACCAAGCGTCATAGTTAAGGGAGTTCTTTCTAACTTCAGCCTCATATTGAAACCTCTTCTTTCCCAAAATAGCATCATCAATACCATCCCTGTCCCCATACTGTTTCTCAAATGCAACAAACTTCTTATAAACCTCCTCAGCCCGTCCTTTAGGTACATGGTCAAATGCAGATTTATTAATACATCTAGCACGCTCTATCTCCTTGCACCTTTCCTCAAACTCAGCAAAAGCTACAAACAGCTTCTCCGCTTCTTCATCATCAGCCAACTTGTCGATAGCTCTCTCATAACAATTCCTAGCTCGAGCAACTTCCCCATATTTCCTTTCCAAATTTGCATATCGAATCCATGCATCAACCTTTGGATGGCATTGCACAAATCTCTCATATATTCCCCTGGCTCGGTCAATCTCATTGTAACGCAACTCAAACTTAATGTAGGAGCACCATCCTTGCTGATCAGGTTGCCACTGCATCCATCTCTCAAAAACCTGCCTAGCACCGGCGACATTGCCAAGTATCTCCTCCATATGGATGTATTTGTACCACAGTTGATCTACTCTGGGGAGCAAAGAGACGGCACAATCCCACACATTTCGGGCATGATTTATGAACTTATTTTTCATTTCCATGTCTGCATATCTCAGCCATAAGGTGTGATTCCTATAATCAACCTCCAAAGCACGCTCCCAAACCGAACGAGCACGTTCAAAGTCCTTCTGTGACTCCTCCCATTTGGCATACTTGACCCACACACTAACATTCCACCGCGCCCTACAAATCAAATCTTCAAATTCCTTGCGTTTCCGAAGACGATAATCAGCAAGCTCAGCTGGATCAGTTATCTTTTGCTTAGGCGGATGGATTTCAGATTCTTGGTGTTCCCGAGCTTCACGCGGATTTGTTCAGCAGTGATTTGAATAGAAGCAGGAGTCTTGTTCTTGACACTGGTGGGTTGAGATAGCTTTACTTCTGTCTCTTTCTTTGTTAGGAACCCCAAGAACGGGTCCGACTCCTTGTATGAACCCATAGTTGCTGCTTGGCTTCAACTCACAATGGAACAGAAAAGCCTGAAACATACAAAGAAACGCAATCTGATGAGACGGGATCATAATACCAATTCAGTAAGAACACAGATATGTATAGTGAATCTCGAGTTCTAGACACACAAAGTTGGGCACCCTTATTTTTCTGTATAAAGCCAAAACACAACCCATCATCATGGAGCTCAACTATTCACTTCTTTTGCGAACTACTAAAGTACAGTGCAAAATTAACAATGTATTCGAAAAGTAAAAGTTGATACCGGTTGATTCAATGATTTGCAGATAGTCCCTTAAAAAGGTCGCTAAAACCAGTACAAATTTAATATTCCACCAAGAAAAAGCAATTAAATTGGCATGAGTTTGCCACTTATCAATTAAGAGGGAACCAAATTTCTAACAAAATCACATTACAATGATAATTCATCTAATAGAACAACATCAACCACAAACACTAACCTAAAAAAATCATTCAAGACCAACCCTTCAACCCCGTCACAATCGCAGAATCATCAAACTAATAATTCATGAAATTGGCAATAAGGCTTTTTCCATGGGTTCGCTCGATTATACTTTTGATTAAAAATTGATCAAACATAGATTATGATATCAAATAGTTGATTCAGAATAATACAAAACACGAATACAAGCATATCACAAAACTAAGAGTATATTTAGCATAAGCTAGCAATGCCTTTAATTTCCAATCAACTAGGAGCCGAAATTACACTCCAGAACAAATTAAATTCAGCCTTGAAGTTAAACCCTAATTTTATTCCTGAAAAAAAAAAATAACAAACCTAAAGCTTCGACAAGAGAGGATGACCGGCGCCCGTAACGACGAATTTTATTCCAAATATATACCAAAATTTGGAACTATTTAGAAAAAAAAAGGTAAAATTTATACCTCAATCAATGTCGGACATTGAAATTTGATGACATTGAAATTTTCCAATGAATCAAATTTCAATTTTCGCTCCTAAATTTCTTGATTTTGACGTTTCAGTAGAGCCAGAGAAAACAGGGTTGAGAGTTAAGGTTTTTTTACGAAGTATTTAAAAAATTGATAAATGATTCTCCGTACAAAGTACTACGGAATTTAGAGAAGGCCGATTGGATTGACGCCCATAGAAAAAGAGAAATTGCAAGTCAAGTGGTATACGGAGTATGAAGTAAATTTCTTATTGAATTACTCCTCCTGTCTCTTATATTGATAGTCCCGGCTATAAGTCTCAAAACTATAATCCCATTTGTTTTTTTCAAATATTATTAATATTAAGGTAATTTTTTTATTAAAATTCTCTACAATTTACAATAATATTTGTGTAAAATTTAACTTTTTCATGTAAATTTGAGTTAATATGAAAGTGAGTAATGAACTTTCATCAATGTTGCAAATTGGGTACTCATGTTTGGCTTGTAGCAAATTGGGTATTCTTACCAACCTGAGTTTACTTTTCCGGCAAGTAACTTGCTACAACAAGTAATTTGCAAGCTAATTTTTTTTTTTAAAAAAAATAATAATAATAATCAATTTGGTGAATTTACACACATAAACAACATTTTAGCTGTAATAAATAGAGATTTACTGACCATTGAACATTTGAATTCAACAACTAATAACCTAAATCACTATTTAACCAAATTCTCCTAAAATTAGTACAACAAACACAATGATGATATGATGTAGAATCAAACATCATAATCAAACTAAACAAAACCCATATCAAATTCGTCAATTCATCATCTATAACAGTCAAAATCACCAAAATATCCAACATGCAAACTAATCAATAATTCATGACAAAATAATAATTCAGAGTAACTAAACTAAAAATTCATAACAAAATCATCCTTTTAAAGCTCCCTACCCCTGTTATTGTTTTAAGACATGTGTGTTGTTTTATTAAGCTTTTATAGATATTGTGCTTGCCTTGTTTTAAAGCATCCCCACCAAACCAAGAGACCCTCAAAAGACGCCTTCATCTTGTCGGTTTCGCTTGTGCCCGCTTCGAAGTATCGGCCGTCACAAGCCATGACTCTGCACCTGTTGTTGGCGTGTGCTTTCTTGAGATACCTTTGGTATGTGTTGCTGTGTGCTCACGAACCTCTCTCGTTCTAGGTTTGCGCCCCTATCGTCCATAGACAAGAGCGCAACAATAGTGCGCCGCACGATTCGGTGTCAGGACCGGGCCGTGTTTTTTTTTTTGGAAACATAACAAAACTATCTTTCACAGTAGCTAAACTAAACAACAATTCATAACAAAAAATCAAATTAGGCTGAAAAATGCTAGAAAAATCTGACAACCACTCAACCCACCATCACACAACCACCCAGGCACCCACACCGCCTTGACTACCACCACTGCATCTACGCCCCCACGAATTTCCCACCTCCATGAAACTCACGCCCACAGATCCGACCACCCTCATGAAAAACCCACAAAATCAACACCCCCACAAAGCCCTAAAAATTTAACCACCATCACGAACCTAGGACACCACCCTCGCGAAACCTAGGCTAACACCCTCATAAGATGACAAAATCCCACAAAGCTATGTTTAATTGTTGTGGTCGACGTGCAAAATCGGTCACTTGGGAAGGTAACCATAGTCAACCGACGTGCAAAACCGGTCACTAGGGAAGGTTACCAGTTTTGAACGCTGGTTATCGTGGTCAACCGGCGTTGGAAACCATTTTTCCGCCCCTGGGTGATCAGTTTTGCACACCGATCGTGCTGGTTAGTGGTCATCGGAATATAAAGAAACAACCACCCTCCTGTCGATGAGGAAAGATGGTGCCGTGGTGGGTCGTTTTTACCGATGATTCTTGGCTGTTGTTGGTGGTTCCAGCAAGGTAGCAATACAAACAAAAAATCTAGTGGTTGTGGGCGGTGATGGTAGATGGTGGTGGTCGTGGTGGCATGATGTTAGTTGTTGTCATGGTGGCGTGGGTTATGGTGGTTGATTTTGTGGTGGTTGATGCTTGGTGGACTAAGGAGAGAGAAAGCAAAGTGGGGATGAGTAAGGGTAATTTTGTCCCTTCATCACTTTTGTTGGCGATTTGATAAAAAACGTTGACGATATTTTACAATCTAGAATAACGTTTTAGCGCCATGATGTGCGTTTCACGAGTATCCATCTGCGTTTCATCTCTTTAATCTTCATGCATTTGAGTGATTTGACGCCTTATTCTTTTCTACTACTCCGTACAATAAACTTCTGACCAAAAGTGATACGCTGATCACATCACTCTGCTCATTCAATTACTGAATTTTCCTCACTTTGTTCGCAAAATATTTCCTTCAATTTTTCCCCAAAATCTACATTTTCTCTCTCCTAGGGTTTCAGAAACTACCTGTAAAAACCCTCCTTCAAATTTCCATGGAGTTCTCAATTTCAGCCATAATTGACTCCATTAAAGAGTCTCTCTCAGAATACGACTACGAAAGAACAAAGAGCCACCTGGGCTTCATCGAGTCAAGTTTCAAGAGCCAAAAAGCCGAACTCGCTCTGAAACTCAACAACTCACTCAAAGATTGCAGCATTCTAACAAAGGAATTGGAGCATTACAAGAAGGATCATGGCGAGTTGCTGCTCGCTAACAGCGAGTCAAGCAACGTGTTAAATCGATCTAAGACGATAATTGCTGAGGCGGAGCACGAGGTACAGAGGTTGAACAATGAAGTGGGGATGTTGAAGAAGCAAAACATGCATTTGAGTGAGGAAAATGGGTGTTTAGAGGGGAAGACGACGAAATTGGGAGAAGAATTGAGGGGTTGTAAGGTGCAATGTGAGGGTTTAAAGGAGAAAGTGGTGAAGTTGGAGGAGAGAGAAAAGGAAAAAAATTCAAGGTTTGAGATGGAGAAAGCGAGGTTGGAGAGAAGATTGTGTAGTGTAATGACTGCTGCAAATGAGCGATTCAGGTCGTTTGAGAAACGGGTGTCCGCATTGGAACGAGTTGTGGCCGACGATGATTCTGATTCAGGTAGTTGTTTCGTGTTTTTGTACAGTATAGCACCCGTGTGTTGCACGACTTACCATTTACGTGTTTCGTATTTTTCTTAAACATAATTTATCTACTAATGTTCATGTTTGCAATATGTATTGGATAAAACGGATGTAATTTTTACACAAAGTGTTGACCTCTATTCTTTATTAGATTATCTTGTTTGGCTCATTAACATAATGTTTCGTCGTTAAGCTCACTCAATAGGTTAGCATCCTAGACTTGTAGTAGATATGTTAAGCTCTTGCAACTACACCTAGAATATTAGAATTTTCTGCAACAATAAAGTTAGATAGAATATGAATAGCAGGAAAATCCCTTCCCCTGATTCTGAGAATGTTATTGGAAAGTTTACAAGCAATGGTACAAATAATTGTTGGTTAAGTTGGCACTGGAATAACTTGTGCCTCAGGGTATGATTGTTATTGTGACCATAGCTTACTTTCTGCTGAAACTTCGTATAATTTAAAACCGGTCTTAATCGCCTCACTGTGGTCGATCCAGTTACTCCAGCTTCCTGTTGAATACTAATTTTTGGCACTTCTTTCTTGCATGTTATATGTCATACCTTATACAGGTTACTGTAGTTGAAATCTGTGTACTTTGTATTGAATAATTATTGTGCAGGCTTGTAAAATGCCTAAGCAGCTACCAAAGAAGTGATAATTGCAAACCTATTAAATTGACTTGCCCAGTTTGTCACTGAAGGGATTTTTTTTTTTTGAAAAGGTTCACAACTGATCGATACAGTCCTTCAAGATCAAGAGCAAGAGCAGGAGAGTCGTGAAGTACCACACACCGAAGAAAAGATTGCTGCATCAATGCCTAGTTGCCCAAGTATTATCAATTTTCTGTAGGCTTATCAAGTTGTGTTTCTTTTCCTTGGCATTAAAGTTTGTGTTTGCTCTTTCTTTTAGGTCCAAAAGCAATCAGACTAACAGATATACCGGGACAGTCTGAGAGTTATGAGTCGGACACAAGGCCCGCAGGGCATGTGGATACCGAGACAGTTGCTGAAACACTCGATGCTGAGGAGAATTTGGCTTCTGCTATGCCATGCATCCACAAATCTCAATCTGCATCTCCTACTGTTGTTGATTTAACTTGCTCTGATGATGATGATGGTGAACTGCCTTCGCCAAAGGGAACTAAAAGGAAGCTATCATCAGCTGTAGTTTCTACCAAGGAGGAGGATGGTGGCAGTTCCATCAAATACAGGCTGAAACAGTGTGAGCAGAAGATTGAGGTTATAACTCTATTCACTTTTTGAGACTATTCTCTACTTTGCCTCTTTTTGTCCTCTCCATGTTTCATTTGAGCCTTGAGGTTATAACTTATAAGTCTATTCACCTAGTAAGATTTTTCATAATGCTGACTTCATGATGCAGGTAATCCACTCTTGACTTCAGTGCTTTGTACCCTTCGATTTATGGTTGGAATTCTCTACTGTGTATACGGATGCGAGGAATTCGCCACATTCGATATCTAAAAGACTTTCATGTATATATAACCTAAGTCTTCTAACTAGATAATTCATACTAATTGAAAGTTATGGTTGTGCATGATGCTGCAATAGGATGAAATGACTTTTTATGTTATGTTCTCTCAAAGGCCTACTTCTACGGTGTCATGCCTTGACTGATGTAAATGGATTTATGGATGTAAACGTACTGAGTTGGGATACACTACAGCGGTTTTGTAATCATCTACTCCTATGAAGTTATTTATCGGGGAAGCTTATGCACTGGAGAAGTAGTAATTGCTTAATGCTCATTTGGTTGTGAATATAAAGCATGCTTTATAGTTTATACTCCTCGTTTATTGTTACTAGAGAAGCTAAAGAGCCGAGTCCCAGCTCATGAGTGTCTCAAGCTTGACACTCCTGAGCTCAATGCTTGAAAAATTGAGCTCGACTTGAGCTAAAAATCCCTAGACATGAGCTTGGCTTGAGTTTCTTTGATCTAACTCTAAGCTTATTATTTTAATTGGTGATTGAATTACCTCGAAGTCTCGAACCAAGCCCCCAAAGCTTCAAGTTTGTTAATGAGTTTCAGGACGAGTCAAGGATAGCTTAGGCTTGGCTTGCTAAGAGCTTGAGCCGACCCAGACTTGATTTGATTTCGCTCAAGCCAAGCTTTGACTAAGTTTTTATTGAGTTAAGCATCGAGTGGCTTGTAAATTCGTAAAATTTGCATAGGAAGTTCAGTTACCTTAAAATGAACTACTTCCTTTGTCCTAAAATATCTTTAAAAAAGGCGAAAAGTAAGATAGTAAGCTTTTGAAGTATCATTTGGTAAGACTTCTTAGTTCTTACTTCAATTTTAGGGTTTAAAAGTATGAGTTTTATCAAGCAAGGACGGAGATTGTGGTCACTCTACAAAAAACCAAGGGTGGAGGGAGAGATGGAGTTTAGAGCTATGCCCAATTAATATGCAATATTAACAAAATATGTTAATATGGTGGCATTTTCGCAATTATGAGCATTCTTGAAATATTTTAATGTTATTTTTGGATATTGCTGATGGGCCACTTAAATGACGTTTCTTAACGTTTTTGTAACTCTTGTTCTTGTTCTGGAGCTTCATACAACCCCGTTCCTTCTCATCCCTTCTCTCTCCTCTCTCCTCTTGCTGTACTCTTCTCCTCTTGCTCTACTCTTCAAATTCGACAAAGTCATAATCAAATTACATATGAGACCAAAATTCTAGTCTAACAACCAACAGATTACACCTAAAAAATTCCAACTAAAAAAACAACAAAATTACAAAACTGAACCTTAGATCTAACATGGCTTCCACCACCATCTCCGTCTTTGTCTTCGCATCTGCGTTCCTCAACAACCGTCTTCATCTTCATCTAAAATGGCTTCCACCACCACCACCGTCTTCGAGGTCACAACGCGCTTCGCGGCGACACAAAAAGACACCCTAGTAGCAGATAGTGTCAATTAGGGCCATATCAACCCTTTTGGGGAAGCATCTCCTTCGCAACAACAATTTTAACCACCACCTGTGGTGGTTGGTGAGGTGTGCAGTTTGTTAGTGTAGAGGAATTACCAATGGGGACATACACATAGCCTGGCAAGAATGGATTATATTGACGTTTGTAGACGAACGTTTACCTACTAACTAAAGACACCGATTAAATGACGATTCTACCCTTACTAAAGTGTGTGAATTGACCACCGCACCCCATATAAACATAAGATGTTAATATGCAATATTAACAGGTATTTTCTTGGAGTTTACAGGGCAAAATAAACTGATTGAAAATTTATTGTAAAAACAACCCAATTAAATACTTCGTGTATTTGACTCATTTGAGCAATACTATTACTGCAATTCATTCTTCCTTCAACCTTCCAAACCTCCATGGATTCCTCGCTAGTGTCGAGGTTGAAGAGAGAGAATGCCGAACTGGCTATGAAACTCAACAATTCATTGAAGGAAAACAAAAAATTAACCAAAGAATTGGAGCAATTGAAGAAGGATCATGGCGAATTGCTACTCATCAACAACGATAATCAGCAAAAACTTCCCGAATCAAGGATAGAATGCGAAGATCTAACAGAGAGACTATCTGCAGCAAATGGAGAAATTCAGAGGTTAAAGCTCGAATTTGGGGAGAAAATTAGGGCTTTATCGAACGAGGTTAAGGTTTTGAAGAAGCAAAAAGGAGATTTGAATGAGAAAATTGGGGATTTAGGGAAGTATACGACGAGAGTTGAAGGTCAATTGGTTGATTGTAGGTTGCAATGTGAGAAATTGAAGGGAAAAATCACCAAGTTCGAGGAGAAAACTCCAGAAAAATCGAGGATTTCTGTGAAGGATGACAAGTTAGAGAGGAAATTGAGTAGTGTAATGACTGCTACAAATGAGCGATTTCGATCTTTTGAGAAACGCATCTTAGAATTGGAGCGAATTTCTTCTGGTTCAGGTAATTTTTAAGGTTTTTATTTTATTTTATTTATTCAAGGAAAAATGAGAATTTTAGTTGGTTCTTGCTGAAGTTTAGTAGTACTTGCTGAAGTTATATAATGAAACAAGAACACCACATAATTTGATAATGAAATGAGAATTTTAGTAGTACTTATCAAATTATGTGGTGTTCTTATTTCATTATCAAATCATGTTATTTAGCTTCAAGGCTTTCATGTATTCAATTGAGTTTCCTGGATTGCAATTGAGAGTAATCGGTCACAAATTCAGCTTATGTTTCAAATTGAGGTTTGTTATTGGTTGATATCAAGATTATTCATTGAATAAAATCAAAGGAAGAAAGAGCAAGAGGAAGGTGTTTACATACTCACAAAACTAACTAAGGTCTTCAAATTCAAATTGATTGATTAAAAAGAAGAAAGAGGAGGAAGGAATTTCATAGCGAGTTATTTTGTTCTATGCTCATTTAATGGGAGAAAGAGGGAGAGCGTGCCTCACTATTGAAATTTGCTATAAATTCTGTCAATAGGTAGTGCTAATCAAATGTAATCTATAAACAATTGGAGTAGTTTTTTTTTTTTTTTTTTTTTTTTTTTTTTTTTTTTTTTTACTATTTAAATATAATTTACTTGGTAGTTGTTTCCAAAAGTTGTTAAGTTTTGGTAGTTGTTCCCAATTCCCTGTATTCCGATCCTTCAAATTATGCTTTGGGTTTGGAAGTATCAATCGTATTGTGGAAACTCTCCACACATGGATATTCAACTGTTATTTGTCGACAAAATTGTTCTAGAGGACTTGGAAGTGGAAATTGATGAAATGTCAATAACTTACAAATAATTATGATTTACCAAGGATTTGGCTTGAGTCTATAACATACTAAAGATAGTTCTTTAGTTGACTTGTAAGATTAATGATGTAGAGACTTGGCAACTCAACCAGAGAGAGTACTGTCACTTAGTTACCACTTACCAGACATTGCACTATTAGCTCCAGAAAAGGGACTTTATATTGTATGAATAATTTTGAAATTTTTACGATCCCATTTCCCATGGCTAAAGCTTACTTTAGTGGATTTTGGGTGAGGGTAGAGGAGTATGACGGAGAGTGAGTATAGGATAGAACCTCCAGTCTCCGGATTCTAGGGATATTTTTACAAAGGTGCTACTGTGCTAGTGCTGTTACTGGCTACTGACCCAGAAGAAAACTTGGGCGAAAGGGTAGTGATTTGAAATTAGTAGCCACTGTTGTGTTTGGAGTTAGAGTTGTTTGCCTGTGGACACCAAACACTCTCCATTGAAGGAGAAAATTTATGATCTAAAAACCCAAGGCTGTTTTAAGTTAATGAGGACATGAATTATGTGCTTATCAACATTTTTTGGTCCTTTTTCATTTAAATGACGCTTGCTCCTTTCTGTTCTTTTTTCTTTTTTTTTTTTCAAAAAAATTATTATTCTTGTAGGTCCACAGTTGGTCGACACAAGGAACACAACTCAAGTCATGCAAGAACAAGAGAATTATGGGCTTGAAGAAGAACGTGAAGGGCTTGTTGGAGCCCAATCTGGTTATGAAACAACAGTCAATAAAGAGAAGATGGCTTCATCAATGCCAAGTATTCTCAAATTTCTGTTGTCATCGTTTCTCTGATTAATATTTGTGTTTCATTGTCTTGGCTTTGAAATGATAGTTTCCCTTTCTCTCAGGTCTGAAAACGACTAGTGCAGCTCATATCAAGGTACGTACAAGGAGTTTTGGGTCTGACACAAGACCCAGTAAGCCTGTTGGAATCCGGTCGGTTTCTGAAATACCCACTTCCGAAGAGAATTCAGCATCTTCTACACCATGTGTTCACAAATCTCCATCAGTATCTCCATCCGTTGCTGAGATAAGTAGTTCTGATGACGATAGAGTATTACCTTTGCCCAAAGGTCATAAAAGGAAGCTATCATCATCATCTGATGTTTCTAACAAGGAGGATGGTGCCGGCTCCAAGAAAAAAAGGTTGAAAAAAAAACTCTATAACTTGTAAATATTGATAAAATTTGATAACTAGAGGATATCCAGCCTTCTACAGTCTACTATGTATGCTTACTATCAGTGTGTGGATATAAAAGGGTATTATTTTAGTGTTTAGAAATTACAAAACCCCAGAAAGATTTGTTCATCAGTAATGACTAATGATAGGAGAAACCACCCAAAATAAACATTTCATAATATAGGATTAAATTAGTTAGCTTGCTCCCTTTCCAATTGAACTTGTTGCTTTAAGCTTGTGCAATCTTTCTTTTTTTCATATCTTTTTTTCCTTGGGGGTGAGGGAGGGCGGTGAAGACAACAACCATTTTTCGTACTTAAGCATTTTAGCAGGCTGCTTTATACTGTTCGTCAAGATAAATTTGTGAAAGTATCAGTTCTTAGATTTCTGTATCATAGGCTATTGTCAATGCTGACATGTTGTAGATTTGTTTTGTTACTGCTGAATTGAACTCAAAGTCTTTGCATGAACTTTCAGTCTCTCCTACTTTTTATTACTGCTAAATGGCTGAAGGCCTGTGTATGGGCCTTAGTTTGCATAGTTGGTTAATCACACTTAGCGTATAAGCTCAGTAAGAATAATTTGAAGGATTCTTCACAGTGGATTCAGTAACTTCGCTGAAGCTGCATATCATATGATGTATGTAATATCTTATAAAATCTTTGTTGTCTTAATCTGACAATTGTAAGTTTCCATTAGTAATTTATCATTTATGTTAGGAAATACTTCCAAAGGGATTTTACATGCTGCTTATGTGTAATTATTGGCTTTATATTTCTGTAATTTTTTATTGATTTCCTCAA